AAAAAAAAAAAAGAAAAAAAAAATAAATGCAAATGTATCAGTTTCAGTAACTGCATTAAATGTGAACAGATTAACATTCCAAATAACTCACACTGACCAAAAAACCCCTATTTGCAGGTTATAAAGTACCCACATTAAATACAAATATACAGAAAGGTTAAAATTAAAAGAAATAGAACAGCTACACCATGCAAGTACTAACCAAAAGAAAGTCGGAAGCTATGTAAATACTGAGTAAAGTAAATGTTAAGGTGAGAACCATTACTAAAGACACAGAGGAAGAAGGTGTAATGTTCAAAGAGAAACTCTACTAACATACCGTGTTGCCCCGAAAACAAGACACTGTCTTCTATTTATTTTTTCTCAAGAAGACACGCTAGGGCTTATTGTCAGGGCGTATTCCAGTCTTCCTTACCACTCCGCACTGAAATGCATGGCGCGGCTATGCAGCATATCTGCATAGCCACGCCCATCACTAGGTCTTTTTATTGGGATAGGGCTTATATTTAACAAATGCATAGAAATCCTGCTAGGGCTTATTTTTTGGGTGGGTCTTATTTTCGGGAAACACGGTAACAATTCTAAATCTGTGCACATCCTTCATCCTCTACACATAGATGAAGCAAAGTCGGACAACCAAAAAGAGGCACAAATCCACCAACTGTGGGTGGTGGCTCTCACACCTGTCCCACCAGAGGAGGGCCTCACCTCAGGACTGACACGTGAGTTTGCTTTTCAGTAGAAACCCTGCAGGGCTTAGCTAAGAAGGTAGCAGCCTGGACTAAGGCAGGTACTGTGACCACGTACAGAAGAAAATAAGCCATGGGCAAGAAAGACACAACAGGACCCGGCGACTCATCAGAGCAGAATAGGAACAATTACCAAGTGCAAGTTTTCTGGCCCCATGAGAGCAGCCAGCAGGGCACCAGGCGCAGTGCAGAGCTGGCTCAGTTCCCGATGCCCAGCAAGCTGCAGGGCTGCAGGCCGCACCAGGAAGGAGACACAGCGTGACACACACACACACCCACATCCGAGGATAGGAAGATGCAGGCACAGCTGTCAACCCTGGGAACCACTGTATGACATCTTCATGGTGGGTTTTTGCCCAAATTTCTACACCAAATAAAGCCACTTTTAAAACAACCCAAACTGAAAATGAAATGCCAAGTACCTCAAGTAAGAGAGAAAGTAAGAGGCTGTCCTCAAACGTCAGATCAGCACCCGGAGAACAGGCAAATATCAACTCAGAGCATCAGCAAAAGAACCCAGGTCAAATTTACACTCATTTACATGTTGAAAGCATAGCTCAGAATTCTGATTTAGAGACAATTGTTTCACACATTTGCAATAAACAAACCAAAGCCACAACCGATACAGAATTGACTGTGTTCCTCTTGCTCCATGGTACTTACAAATGTCCTCTATTTAAGGGAGTCCTGCTGAGATGACTCTGCATACCATGGTAAGAACAAATAATTCACTAAGAAGGTGTGGAGATGAGATCAGAGGAGCAGAGAAATAGTTCACCCTCCCAGCTTCTGTCATCACTGCCAGCCCTGCCCCCTCCCCACACTCTCCCACACGGCCTGAGGACCCTATGCAGAAAGAGAAGCAGGGGTGTCGTAAAGACTAAGATACACCAGGAGTAAAACTTGAAAGCGAATACATTTATAACAGCTAAAGAATAGAAAACGTCTTTGTGTTAGTACGACTTGGCTGAGGAAGACCACCACTGTGGCAACAGAAGCATCTCTGCTCTGCCTGATGCCTGAGGAGCTCATGGGCTGTGCATGCAGGAGTTAAGCAGAAGAAGCGGCCTGTGTCCATGCCAAAGAAATTCCTTCACTAGAATAAACAAAACACAGCAACCACAACCCCCTTACGGAAGTGACTGTCCCACTGCTACAGACCTGTCCACTGGCTTGCCTCCCACATATCAGGGTCTTACCTCATGGAATTCCCGGAAGACTCGGTCACTCTGGTGAGCGCCAATCGTGATTTCTGGGAGATAGACAGGAATGGTTGTAAAATTCAGCACCTTCAACTTATCCTGAACCCTAAAAAATAAGACAAATACAGGTTACACCAAACCATCAAAATAAAGATAATAAAATAAGCTTAGTTCTGATTTTTTAAAATATCTAAATAAAAAAGCCATTATTAAATAAACACTATCCACTGCCAAGCACTCATCTCAGAAGCAAAACTTCCACCCTTTCACCCATTTGGTCTGTCTGGAGCTGCTGTTTTGGAATCGCCTATGGACGACAAACCCTAGGAATGAACACAGGTTGGGGAAACAGAAGAGACGTCAGAGTGTGCTTTAAACATGAGACGAGCAGGACCAGGAAGCTGCCCACACAGCTGTGCCCCCAGTGCTGCACATGCAGGGTGCCGTTCAGAATCTACAGAAGTAATGGATCTGCAGGGACCAAACAGCCAGTGGGCAGCCCGCTGGGCCCCATGCCAGTACCTCCCTCTGCACCCAGGGCTCAGACTGCCTGAAAAGCAGAGCCCACAGAGGCCACCTGGGTGTCTGCTGTGCTACCCCTTTCCAGGTCTAATTCTCTACTGCTCCTAGCACCAATCGATACAGATCACAGGATACTCTCCTTAATTTCCTACTTCATTTTGCTAAATGCTGAAATGTTTACCTTTTGTTATAATTTGTTTATTTTTAATTAAATTTAGTTGGAATATAATCATACTACTTAAAGATCAAAAGTATTTTTTAAGCTTTTAGAAACAAAGTTAAAATAACTTTTTTCTTAAGGGCTCAAAATAGAAAATAATTATTTTAAATGGCCACTTTCCCGTTAATGAGTTATAAAAGCAGGAGCTGTTTCTCGTTTGTAATGGCTCAAATGGAAATTCTGTGATTGTACCTGGCTCTGGGCCAGACATTGAGAGCAACAAGTCCAGGTCCACTGTGCAAATCCAAGGCCTGGTCCCATATAGACGGCACCCATATAGACCCTGCCACAAACAGACGCACCCAGTTGGAACCCCAGGCCCCTGGGGTCCATAGATCACACTCCCGTGGACAGGACAGGACTGACAACCTGCAACAGGCTGACTGTGAGCGAGGGAAGGTGAAGCATGTGAGTTTCCTACTCAACACCTTGTCACTCGTACACAGTCGACAATGCGATAACCCAGCCATTATTTTAAGGAGCTGCCGCCAGGCTAACAGTATTTGTCTTCCTAAGCCCACTATGTGAGTTTACACATGGTTAGGGAAATGGTTGTTAAGGACAGAGGGAAAGGTAACACTACTTTCTTACTTTTTTTTTTTTTTTTGCAGTTTTTGGCCAGGGCTGGGTTTGAACCTGCCACCTCCAGCATATGGGGCCAGTGCCTTACTCTTTTGGGCCACAGGTGCTGCCTACTTTCTTACTTTTAATATTAAGTTCATTTTACCTATCCCAAAATATTAAAATATTTTTTAAAAATTCAAGCAAGCAAACCTGAAAGTTTGTAAAGGGCACATAGTTGCTATATTTTGTTAAGACTACATTTATTGGTTATCATTAGAAACCCAACTTGGTATCTTATTAAATTTCACAGCACCAAAGTAAATCCTCAGCATCACCTCTTCCAGACCTGTGGGAGTGCTGTCAGCTTCCCTAAGCATCTTTCCAAAATCTCCTATGCATGAGTCAATAACATACTAGTACAGATCTTATTGTTAATACAAGCAGAATTATTCGACATCTGTTACATATGGAAAATATTTAGTTATCTCACAATAAAAAATTTCAACTAAAAATGAAGCTTGTAGTTTAATGTTAACAAATATCCAGGTAAGAAGGTGATTTGGTTTTCTCTATAGTTTGAAAAACCTAAGAAAATGCCGGGAAATGTGAAAGAAATTAATGGCCCGGAGGACATGTGGCCTACAGAGAGCCACAGCGCCACCTATGCACACTCGGCCAGAATTACCCCCAGGGAAATTCACAGTATGCTTCAAACTATTTTTGAATGTTAAATAAAAATCTGCTCCAACTATCCTACAATTTATTTAAAGTTGCTAGACTCAATTTACCATCACAGCTTAAAATGTGACTATTAAGAGCCCATAGTGTTTCCCCAGTAAAGCCCCTAACCTTAACCTCTAAAGAAATGTAGAGATTCAGATAAATGAGGCACAAAGACACCAGGAAGCCATTTATGATGCAGGAAGAAAAAAGCAGAGAAAGAAAACATTCTGTTCACAGTGCACTTAATTAAGAAGAATTCAAAACTGAGGATGATAATACCTTTCATGTCACAAGCTGAAGTGTCAATGAGATAAAACGTTCCACAGCTTCACTTACAACATGAAACACGTGGCAGCCACATATTAAAAAAAGACAGGAAGCCAGAAAAAAATAATAAAGGGTAAATTATGTTTTATGACTCAAACTATTTCCCAATTAACAAAATGTGTACGTTTTCTCCTAAAACACTTCCAAACCCCATTGTTCAATTTTCTAGAACTTCAAAGTTCCGTCCCCAACACTATATTTATACTAAATTCATGTGCTATGGTTTCTGCAGCACTAGAATTTCACATTCAAAAGACGTTCTCCAGGAGCTAAGTGAAAGTCTCAGTTATGACACAAGAGGATGGTGTGACGACCCGGGCACCAAGTAGCAGTGAGTGAGGTCGGAGCCCTGCACAGCATGGGCCTGATGATAGGACCAGACCAGCAGGCCGGCGCCAGTCAGGAGGGACGGCCACGCTAGGAACGTACAGTGCCATCAGGACAGAGAGGGGCAATCACCGTCTCTCAGTGAAGCATACACACACAGTGTAATTACACGCTGACACACGTAACTGAGACGGCACAAAAATGCCCCAAACCAACATCTGGTCAGGTTCTTGACACAGAGTGTAACTGGTACACAGCATGTTTACAATAGTTATCTTAGAAAATTGGTCATAATTTTCACTTGAGTCCTCCAAATTGAAAAATGGTACTCAAAGGAAAATAAACACAATTTCCATTGTGCTCTGTTCTGAACATCCATGGGGAAGAGGGCAAAAAAATCAGGAGAAGGAAAGCACAAACAGTTTACAGCAAACCAAACAATTAATTGGTATAATTTCTAAACTTTGGGGGAATTATAGAATCCTTCTCTATGCTTTGATAATCACAAAGCTAAATAACTGCTCAAATTATGATTTTAAAACATGAACAATGGACATAGTGTAGAATAAAATCAACACACATTTCAGACTATGTTCAGAAAAAGGCAGCGTGTGGGAGGTCAGCGAGTCAGACACGTCCCTCCTCACAGTCCATTCTCTGGAGACACACTCTGTCCAGTAGAGACTGACGCTAACAAACGGGATCATCTGTAAGCCCATGTAAATAACAGCCTGAAGAGTCAAATGTTTCACAAGGGAGGGTGGTGACTATGGCCAGCTTGGAAGACTGCCGGGATCTGTGGGTGGTGATCACGCAGCGAGGACAGAGGGAGTGCGGAGAGTCCCAGAGTCCTGGCAGAAGAGGAAGCAGCAGGCAGATGATTCAGGCTCTGAGTTCTAGGAAGTAAAAGTTGAATCTACAACTAAACAAAGATCAACTTCTGAAGAATTTTAATAAGGAGAAAATAGGGTCACTGTAACCTTTTTTTTGAAAGTAAACATGTAAACTGAAATCATTTCCACTCAGATCAGGAACCAGGCAAGGATGCCCATTGTCTCCGTTGCTCTTTAACAT